GATGTGCCGCTGATGCTCCTTCAACCTCATGTCCATGGAGCGGCCAGTCTGCCCAGTATAGACCTTGCCGCACTCGCGTGGGATACTGTATACACCCAGTGTCCTTAGGCCCATGCTATCTTTGGCCGGCCAGAGGAAATTGGACAATTTGTTTGGAGGCTTTAATGTGCTGGGACAGCACTCTGCTGATATGGTTGAATATGAATATGATTGTCTGGAACTGGCATTTGTTGTTGATCCCATCCTGCTGAAGCAACCCAAATGTGTCTCTGATGGTCAGTAAGTCAGGGTTCCCCTGTTATATACATTGGGGTAGTACATTATGCTGTGTGTATATACTCGAGAGCAGTGACTTGCATCCAGCCAGTTTTATCAAACCCTGTATTACCACCAGACTGAAACAAAGCTTGTCTTCTTCCAAGAAATATGGTTTTGCAGTATGTGTGTCCAGTTTAATTACTGCTACAAAAGTAATTCCAAGGAGCTGAGTTAGTAATCATTAATGGGAGTTGTTATTTTTGAGACCTTGTGTCCCACTAGTGCAGAAACTGTTTTAATATATCGTAAATTTTACATCACATTGTGAGCACATGCTGTTTGCGGCGAAACAGCCACTTGGTGTAGCTGATGTAGCAGAGGGACTGACATGCAGAGCCATGTGGAAAGGATGGATGAAGAGACAACGGTACAGACCTCGGGGAATAAGAAGTGTGACCGAGAAAGCAAATGAGCAGGATAACAGTGAGACTCTGAACGTGACATAGAAGCCTGTACCTTAACTGAAGGAGAAGAAAAAAATGTTTCTGGCTTACGCTTCATTCACCAAAATTCAGAATTTAAACTTGGTATTGTATATCACTCAGAATCACTTGCTGGGTTTTTGGATTGTGTTCATTGTCTGGTGTTCACAAAACAAGAGAATGTACAATTTCAGGTGTTCGTTAGTAACCTGCATTACACAATGGATCCATTGCTAACAGTCTTTTTATATTCAACGTTTTACATAAGTGTACGATGTTTAAATATACCAAAATACTTGTTGAACATTACTAAACCTTGCTATTTNACCCCCTCCAATAATAATGATAAATATGTTTCACAAAACAACAGTTAGTCATAAATTTAGATAAATTACATCCACATAATCAAGTTCTTGCTTTACAGTGCAGTTAATAGTAGTGTTATCTGTATGTCATAAAATTCAAAGACAGTTGTTCAGGAAAAATATTTTTTTTAAGCCAAATGGGTATGATGAGCAGATGAGGGATACTACATAATGACAATCTATGATCTATACAAATCAGCTAGTGTTGTTCCAGTAGTGAAATATAAGTTGTTAAGCTGTAGTATATACAGATCATATGGCGGTGGTGTGAAACATACGAAAAACTTTGATGGATTCAGCCACTTGGAAAACTGAGGAGGTGGGTGCAACTGGCTTAAGATCATGCCTAATGTTGGATGTAGTGTTATCAGGGTTAAATCTCCATGTGCTCCTTCCACAGAAGTAGGTTTTACCCAGCCAGAGCAACGTCATTTGATATGTAAAGTAACATGTTTCATTGTGGTTGTTCGCAGTTTTCCTTTCAAAACTCAATTGGGAAACCAGCTAGCCAGCATGTTTCTTATGATTTTCCTCAGGCCCTCCATGAAACATGTTATTCATACTTATTCTTTCATTTTCCATTTTCCAACATTTCAGGCGAGTGGCATTAAAATACAGTTTTATCTTCCCAGGCCCTGGGGTTCACTCAGCCTCTAACAGAAATGAGTACCAGGAATTAATTAAATAATTTGCCTGGGGAGTAAAGCGCGGCCGGCGAGTAAAGCTGACAACCTTACCGCCATCTTTGAGCTGATTGTCTAGATAGTGTTGGACCCTCAACGTCTCACAACCTGTGGGCCTTCACAGCCTGGTACAGGGATAGCTCTACTTTTTTTTTACTCTCAGACATTCATTGTAATTTCTGAAGAAAACTTGATAAATTTTCACTGCTTGCAGATTTATTACAGAAACTTACATGATCAGAAGCTTTATGTAAAGATCCAGATGTTAGTTCTACTGAATATGACATATTTATTTTCCAAATTTTTACCACTTCTAACTATGTAACTATTTCAGAAGCATGTACCAGCTCACTGTCAACGTGTCTGTTCATATGCTATCAATTGGTCCAAGTTCGATATGTGCTGCTTGAAATTTTCTTACAGTACAAATAATTCTTCTGTTCTGTCACAGTGATGTCATTGTTCACTGACTTTGGAGTGGAAAGGGTTAATTTTGTAAGCCCATTACCTATTCTGTGGCTCCTTTGAACAACTGTACACCTCTGGTCCCGATCACCCTCTCTTTCTTACAAGTCCCACAGTGGCATTTCTTATATTAGAGTGCAGTAGGTCAAGCATGTTAAAAGTGTCAACAGCTTCAATGCACTGACTTAGACCAAGAAGACACGTGGAGGTGTATGTAGTATCCCTCTTGAGTTTATAGTAGTAATGACATTTAGGTAGAGGCGTCCCACTCTCCAAGTTAAATCCAGGAGCATTGAGTTCACCGAGTAATATGACGTGATTATTGTTAGTGTCTAGTTTGTTTTCAAGGTGTCGAAAGTAGCAACTAGTGACTTCCAGTTTGGTGTTAGGGGAGACGTAATAGTTATCAATAAGCATGTTTATGCCGTCGGCAGTGGGAATCTCAACCAGTACATATTCATGGTAGAGTTCTAAATCATTTCTAGTCTTCCATGTCTGTTGCAGAAGAGCGGGGTGTCTCACAGATATCTGGAAACGTTTCGGGTCCTCCTTCAGGGCAGAACATGGGATGTTAGCCGTGTAGTGTGTTAGATGACTGCATGGAGAAATCTGATGCCTCCAGTAACGTTTCAGAAGAAAGTTCTTTCTCCATCTTCAGGGTTGGAATAAAAAAGTGATGCCATGTAGTTTACCAAATTACTCGACGCGAATCCAAGAAGACAATGAACTTTATAGAAAAAAGGTGAAGTTTCCTGTGTCGCCATATCGACTGCACTTCTCAGGCTCCCTCAGAATTGTTTTTAGACCTCAGTGTCCATTTAGGAGTTCCCGCCCATCTCAATATATATATAGGTCCTTACTGAGACATATTAAGGACAGAAAGCGTAATAATTTCTTCCCAGAGGTCGCTTTTGGTGCTATTGACATAACATTAGAAAAAATTCCTATGTCCAAATCCTAACACCCAATATTGAAGTAAAAAGCAATCTGTTCCAAATTTGTAATTTTAGTGAGAATGGCGACAGATGACAAACAGGTTTGTCGGCAGTTCCTTCTGCTGAGTATAATTAGCAGAGCCCGGATTTTGATGACATGTCATCTTTATTTCTTTATGTAGTAAATGTTGCTTTTAAGTACTGAAGCTCCGATTATGAACCTCTGGTCGTAAAAATGTGAATTTCATATTTTGTATGTTTCAAGTTTTAGGTCATTTTTACAAATTTTTTCACGTTTTACATCAATTTTGGTTATCTTTCACGTTTTTTTTAATAATTGACATTCATTGATCAAACTGAAGATATTTCATTCGTGAGGTGGAAATCTATGTTCTTCAAGTAAATTTTGTTTTGTATCTCTAGCCTCTTTCGCTAAATGTAATAGATTTGTTTGTGAGAGGGCACATTATTTTTCTTTCTAAGCGGCCAGAGATGCCGTTACTGTCCCGCTCCGCTTTCAAAGCCACCGCTATGTCGTAAACTCATAAAATTGATGCCTCAGAAATGCAGAGGGGTGGGTTTAAAGAGATGTCCGGGTGTCATAAAATCAAGAAATTAGAAACTAATTTACACAGTCCACATCTACCAGATTAAGAAAATTTAGAAATTAGTTTTAAGTCATTTTATAGATCATTTTTAAAATATTTTTAGGTCGTCAAAATCCGGGCCCTGATAATTAGTACTACATGTACACCAGCCCGTTCAGTGCTCTCTGTCTTTGTGTCGGCTGACCACGAGTGACCACCATCCCCACGGTATAGAGCGTATAGAGAGTCGAGCAGATCATATCCAATAAAAGACAGTACACCAATCAACGACTGTAAGGCAATTATAACAACCCGTACCAATCGGTACGAATACAATTGTGTACTCTGAAGCTCAGAAGCAAGGATCGCTGAGATATGGTCAGATGACAAGAGAGCCAAAATGGTTACCTTAATCTACCCACATTTACAAACTAAGGCGAGAGAAATAAACATGTAATATCAACACCAATGAAAATGTAAACATACATTTATGATGAAGGCAATACATTGCAAGGAATGCACTGGCCAGCGGCCACCGTCTTGATGGTCTTGATCACTGCCATTGTAAAAAATAATAAGAAGAAATATCATACAGGCCACAGAGTATAGGCCCTGATACAGTGGGAGGGGAAGGTACGTATATGATGGGAAGAGGTTGATATTTGTGTGGGAGTGGGTTGAACGGGAAAGTTTGTTGATAAATAATGCGAGTGTAAGATGTGCACATTACTTACTTAAAACTGAAATGAGTGTGTTTGGTGATTTCCGAAATGTTTGGGTTCAGAGATTCCCCGGCAGTGACTTACCAGCAGCTTGGGAAGAAGATGTCAGAGCGAATCTCGAGAAACACAAACAAAAAGTCGCAGTCTTGAGGGAGGAGTTAGAGAAAGAGGAATTTTACGTCGAATATCTTGAACAGCTGTTGATAGATGTTGCGAAACACAAAACACGAGGTACAAATGACGAGGAAGTTAATAACGATGATAAATCTGGTGAAGGTAGGGACACTTCAGGTGTTAAATCTAGGCCTGCCCCAGTGCAAGGTATGGGTTTGGAAGAAAGTTCTGAAACAAGTGGCAGTAATGTAGGTGATAACATTCAGTCTTCTGTTGAATCACTGGAGATGATCCACAAAGATTCAGCCAACCAGTGTATTAGTGAACTATCTGCAACCTTACCTGATGCTCACAGTATCAGTCGTTCCAATAGTGATGTGCCAAATAGGAACCGAGTATTAGAAACCAAACGTCCGAGATGTAACACACATCCTGACATTTCTAACTATGTTACGGTAATAGAAGTGAATGGTTTGAACGTGGTCAAAGGCGAATGTATGAAGGAAGCTCTTGACAGCCAGGTAGCAGCTACTAAGAAGGTACCTCCAACACCGCCTCCCAAGAAGTTTTTCAGCAAATCAAAGGTGCGGAAGAATATTTCAGTAAACTCAGGTGATAGAGAATATGATGCAGGAGGCCAGGCAGAGGAAATTAACGATGAACAATATGAAAGTGACATAAATGAGATGCCAGGTGAAGCTGCAGCAGCCTATCCAAGAACCAGGAGTTTGGAATCAATTGAGGCTGAAGTGAAGCTGGAAGAACACTTAGTGCAAGAAAGTTTGGTGGAGGATGCCAGCAGCATGAATGGGGTGTTGCCAGATGATGATGAGCCATACTATGACTCTGTGGCACTTGATGGAGAATATGTCTACCTACAGACTGGTAAGTACCTTAGTACTTTATAACTGAGCTGTTTTCTGTTCACTGGTGTTAAATT